ATGAAAGGCTTTGAGTCCAAAACACTATTGAACATTGAAAAAGTATAAGGTATACCAAAAGGTAATTTAAAAACAAAGAGCATATTTTTAGAAATATTTTAATAAGTAGGTTATAGTTATATTTATACATATTTATATTCTGTACACATATATAGAAGTTCTGGTACTTTGATATATATTTTTATGTACATATACATATGTACTGTGAGTATATAGAAAGAAAAAGCTACTGTGTATTTTAAGCCAAATAACTTGTGAACATCGAAGATTTTTCTTGAGAGACCAAAGCAGTGATCCTCTCCTAAGGCCACCGGTAACAGCCAGCGGAGTCCAGCAGTGTGTTGTGAGCTGACCAGACTCCTCCTTTCACCCCCTGGATGAAGAAACTTCTGGCTGGGTTTTATTAAAACTCACTGAGAAACCAAGGCATCACAAAGTGAACACTCACTCCCTGGGATCAGGGTTTGATGGACACAGAAGCTCTCAGGGGCACTCCACATCACTAGTGGAAGACAAGGGCTTCCAACAGTTCATTGACACGGCAACTGAACCTTGACTCTTAAGGAAAAACTCAGGCTGGCAAACAGCAGCCCAGGACTGAATCAACTTTGAAGAGACCCACGATGACCCCGTATGCAGCTGGTAGACTCAGCTCTGGAAACTCTGGGCTATAGGACTCCATCCTTTTTCTTTGGAGTCTAGTGAGATGGCTGTTAACTCTAGGAAAGTGCAGACACTGAGAATTATTTTTTAAAAAACAGGGACGTGATAAAACAAATTTATAGATAATAAAGATATGAAACAAACCCATGGCATAAATATGTCTTAGTCAGGTCAGTGTAGGAATATACATTTTGAATTGAATGCTACCATAATTACTGGTGTGTGTGTGTGCACACATATCCATGTGCATGATGCCTGCTTCTAAACATTGTGAGGCTTTTAAATGAGATCAGTAGAGATTTTATTGAAATATTTAAGAGAATTCGTTTACTCAAATTTATAATCAGATTGAAATACTTCAGATGACTTGGTCCATAAAGTATATTTTATCAGTGGCAGAAATAGTATTTTAATGTTTAGTGAAAAAAATTAATAATTATTCCTGGTGGGTGTGGCTCAGTGGAATGAAAGCCAGCCTGTGATCAAAGGGTCAACAGTTCAATTCCTAGTCGGGGCACATGCCTGGGTTGCAGGTCAGGTCCCCAGTAAGGGGTACATTTGAGAGGCAACCACTCACTGATGTTTCTCTCCCTCTCCCTTCCCCTGTCTAAAAATAAATAAATAAAACATTTAAAAAAGTTAATAATGAGATTTAAAATGTGGGCATGAAAATGTACCAATAGTAGTAGGTGTTTTTCTCTCTCTAAAAGGTCCTTGGTCACTCAAGATCCTAAGAACAATGTTATTCTCTGATTTTTTTTCCTAATGAGAATTTTACCCCAATCTTGCATAAAATATAGACAGGTCTACCCTCCAAGATCTTAGCAAAAAATGAGACAAGAGGGGAGGCAGACTCTGGCACGTACCATAATTTCATTTACATCTTTGATAACAAACATCAAAGTCCTTACAGAGAACCCCATCAAAGAAATATGTTTGTGTGTCCTCCTCCCAACAATAAAGATAAACTCGGTGTTTGGTGCTTCTAACAAAGCTGAGGGCACATTTTCTTCCTTTCCAGTATTGGTGTTTCCAACCTTTATCTTTGAAAGCAGGAGAGGGTCAGTCTGACATACTTCTTAGAGCATCATAACTTGAACTTTCAAAGATGAAATCTCATTTACAAAACTGCCCTCCCAGAAAAAGCAAACCTCTTGTATAAAAATCTTGATCAATGACTTAGCTACTCCACACAATATTCAATATTCCTACCAAAATGTCCCTGCAGAACAAAGGCTGGCAGACGGAGTGTCTTAGAGCCTCTTGTAATGGAATTTGACAAGAGCTGGGTACTTTAGGCAGACTCAATCAATGTTAATTGAAGCAGAAGTTATTCAAAGGCCAGTAGGAGTCCTTGAGAGGTGAAAGTGGGCTTTAGGATTATGACTCTCTCCTTTTCCCATTACCCACTTGTATTTAATTACTTGGTCTAGCTGCCGAATTGTAATTTGATTTGCTATCAGGTGATTCTGAACGCGGTCTCCTATGTTTGTCGAGTCTTTCATTTTAAGGGGAAAAGAATCTCATAACCTGCAGAGACGCCTGTTTTGCAGGAAGGAAATTGTCCTCTGGCATGCCCGCCTCAGATTTATAAGGTCTCCTTTCCAGATCCTAACATAACATAGCAGAGGTGTCAGTAGAAGAAGAAGGTGGGAAATTGCTTAGTCCCGAAGGTTACTGCTGTTATTCTCTGGGACACTATCATTCCTATCATTGGCCAGGACCAGTACATGTCATCACTTGGACCCCCCACAGAAGCACACCTCCACCGAAGACAGGAATTTATGTGCAAATTGACCACTTACTGGGGAGATGCTCCCAGGAGACACTGGTTAAGAAGTGTGGGTGTGAAACAAGGAAGGAAAGGCGGCCATAAGTGCTTAACAAACTAGTTCCCACCAGGGGCAACTGCTCTGCCACCTCCCTCTGGAACTCAGAACCAGGGTAGACCACGCCTCCGTAGGTTCACCTAGAGGGTGATGGAGCTGGCTTGTTTATATACCAACTTGGTAGAGGGCTAGTCTCAGTGGGGAGGGGAATAAAAAGCCCAGGACTTCCAGCCTGGATGCACAAAGGTACCCAAGCCAGAGAAAGCCCTCAGAATATGGGCATGGTACCAAGGGCATCTGGTACATTTTCCCTGCAAATATGTAACTGCTTTAAACTCCTGGGGTCCTTCAAATAGACACACCATAACACCGCCTTCTGGATAAGCTGTGGATAGGAACTGGAAAGAGATTCTTTTCCTCTGACATGAATAATGTTTTTTTTCGTACAGACTTTAGGAACTAAGTTTCAATTCAGCATCATTTTGCTCAAGAATCTAAGGTTGTTTTGCCCTTAGTTGGTGTCTCTCATTTACTCCTGAGATAGCTCTTAGGTTCAACATTTGCATCCAGTTAGGACTTCCTCAGGGTACGATGCACAGGGAGCTCAGAATGCTAAATAGAAGTAGATGTCAGCATAAGGAAGGCTGAATCTGTACCCATTTCAGAAGTATATATATGTTTTAGTTTACATTTTAAAACCACTAAATTTTTTAATGACAGCTTTGACTTTTCACATTGATTTGCAACTAGTTGGTATACATTTGCCAGGAACTGAAGACAATAATTATGGGAATCAGGCAGGAGAGGATGATGGTTAATAGCCCCAAATATAAGTAATTTCCAAAGGTGGGGTTCAAAGTCAGAAGCCAGAAAAGCAGACAGTGACTGTGAGGAGGCAGCTGAACACAGTGGGAAAGAGCCCAGACTTTGGAGTCAGGAAGACCCAGTGCATCCGCGCCATGACTCACCAAGCGGAGGGGCTGGCTCCATTACCCAGCCATTTCCTGCCCCAGTTTCTCATCCAGGTAGTGGGCGTTAAGAGTACCTACCTCATGCAGTTGTTGTGACAATTAAATGAGCTAGTGCTTGTAAAGCGCTTTGCCCAGTGATCAGCATATGCTAAGTGCTTAATAATGGTTATTTTAAGGACTTTGAGGTAGAAAGTAGAAAATATTTCTCAGATGCATGGCTTGGAATCCGGGATTAATATCTGTGGGATTATAATCCATCCCATGGCAGCCAGAGAATGCCATAAACCACCCAATGTGACATGAATCATCTTAGCTCCTGTCCTTGCTTCACACCTTGTTCATCCTAAAATCTCAGGTGTGGTAGTGCAGAGTGCTGGGAGTTTTCCAACGAGCTTTCTATTAAAATGACAGATACAGCCCAACAAGGCCTGAGATGGGTCTGCTTCTTCCCCACAGTGAATGAGACCTCTTTGTCAGAATCTAGAAAGAGCCTCACCTGTTCTTTGACAGCGTAAACTCAAAGTTGCAAACAGGCAGAAAAATACCTCATACATCCACGTGTGTGGTAGATTTCACTTTCTGTAAAAGCAACGGTGTGATCTCTGAGAAGAAGGTAAAACACCTGCCCACAGTCAAGGTCCGGAAGGGCAGGCCCCCTTCTCCTGACTTCTCATCCCATGAGTCTTTGCCTTTTTTCCTAACAGCGTTAAGCAAGGAGGCCTTCAGAGGCTGTTCAGTGTTCTCAAACAAAGCCCAACCATATGGAATTCAAGTGTATTTTTTGTTAAAAAAATAACATGACCACCATTTATTGAGTGCTGCCACATTCTGATGAGTTTACAATGCAGAAAGTTCCATCCATGTGACATCCTTTTACAGGCACTTATTACCATACCTATTGAAGTGCCATTATCTCTATGGTATATAGGTGGGCACTGAGGTTCACGGAGTCTGTGGCCTGTTCTAGAGTCTCAGAGAAATCAGAGGGCACGGAAGAGTTAGTGAGCGGTGGCAGATGCCAGCACCCAGCCTGATAGGGTGACGCCACCCCTAGACATTTCTAGAGTTGACTACAACAAAAAGAGAAGTTGACCACACACACTGCCCCATGTGCAGACAACTGATGGCTCTAGAAACACTTGGGATGCAGTGATAAGGTGGCGCCCAGGTGAGACCTTTGGCAGGTCACCTACTCGTAGGTCTGCCCTGGACTTTCCTCCAGGGTCACCGAGGAAGGACACAGCATTGCAGGAAATCGACAGAGACCTTGATGCCAAGTCAGCCAAAGGTGTTTTATTGCAAGGCGAGGCACAGTTACAGAACGTGAGTCAGAAATAGCAGTTCCCGGAAACCCCGACAGAGAGGCAGGCCTTGTTCTCTAATTCCCCCGAAGGGGCGGAGCCACGGACAGACCAGGGCCACGTGGTTGACGAAGGCAGCTGAGCTCCAGTTCCTGCTTGGCCTTAGAAAAGAGCAGTTCAAAACCATCCACTTACTGTCAGGAAGCTTCTATTCAGGGTGTCTGAAGCCATTTTTGATGTGTATAATTCCTGCCCCCCCCCCCCCATTCTAGCTGCAGGATCAGGCAGGGATTAAATTTTAACCTATTAGGTCTGTGTTTGTTTGTAGCATAACATATATATATATATAAATAGTGTGCAAGAGCCCCTGGTATAATATAGGTTTGATTATATTTCACATACAAGCGACACCACATTGAGATCGCTTCAGTAGCGAGGCAAATGTGATTCGGGACATCACCTGAATTCAAACTTTAAAAAAAAAAAGAAAGCAAGAAAGAAAATGTATTTTTAATCTAGGTACTACACAAATCACACCATGCAGCCCCATTTACTAGGTAACCTGGGATTACAAAGCAGCAAATCCCCAGGGACAGAATTTGCTCATAAACAAGGCTAATGTCAGCAACAATTATACTTTCTAAAGCAATTCTTTTCTTACAATTCCCAGGGCCAAGAGAAGAAAAAGAAAAGACAAGGGGAAAAAATAAGAAAGAAAGCCAACTAATCAAAAACATCCAGAACTGTGTGGCATGCAGATGACGGCAAAGCAAAAACAGTCCAGTGGGAACGACAGCTCAGAGAGCTTCATCGGAAGGGCTGCTGCCCCTAGTTCCGCAGGAGGTGCTTCTCGGTCCCAGCTGCTGTGTTTCTGTCCCAGGGAGTGGCAGCATCTTCCTCTGTGTCCTTCAGCAGTTCCCCAGGACAGTAGAGAAGGTAGTGTGTGCTTTGGCCAAAACACAGCCTGTGAAAGGACATAGAGGAGAAAGCCTATCAGTCCTGGGCCCAAACCATGGGACAGCTAAATGTCCATGGAGTCAAGGGCAGAGAGAAGAGGGAGGTTTCCTCACCTCCTCCAGGCTTGTTTCCTGCTGCCTCTCCAGAGTGGTGGCCTTCTACTTTAGAGCAGCCGGCGGCTTGGAATCTTTGAGAGCTGGTAGTGAGCTCTTTGGAGTACCGCACCACTTTTCGGTCCATGATACCTCTGTTGAAAAGAACATAACATAAATAACCCATGCATCACTGGCCCGTGGAATCTTGAGGAGAAAGGGACACAACAGAGCAAGAGGCACACAGAAAGGAGGGAAGGAAGGACAAGAGAGAATAACAGTCAGAAAGGATACTCTACCTGCTACCTTTCCCTGGAAATTTCCCCAGGTGCTTGTATTCTCGACCGAAGGCTTGAGGTGATTTCTAAGACCACCCAGAGGTCTCAAAGGTCTGGAAGGTCAGGAAGCATCATTCCATTGCCATGCGGGCCCCTGAGCTCAAAACAGCTCCTTGACAACCTCAGCCAGCCTCGCCCCAACTCTCCTCAGTGGATCTTGTCACCGAAATACTACACAACAGAGAGCAAAACGCAGTTGAAAATTAGCAGGAGGTCCTCCTTCTTCCTTTGCCCTGGGGTGGTGGGCAGGGGATGGGCGGGGGGGCTTGGGTAGCAGGAATATCAACAACCACCTGGTCTTTTCTTCAGTGATTTCAATCTTCAACTTCAAACTCTCAACTTCTCACCAAGTGACAAGTCCCTAAGAAGTTTCCTCCAGGCCTGTGGTCCATACCCTCTCGGTCCATCTAGCATGGCTTGTTGACTCTAAGGCATTATGCAGATCCTGGAGAGAGTTTCTATCCCAGACAGGCTGCCTGGGGTGGAAGATCTCCAGAAATGGAGCATGCCAGACACCTGGCTCCATGTGTGACCCCCCTTTCCCAAAACTCATGAGAAACCCAGGGCTATCCCTTTGTTCATCACAGAACCTATCTTCTCCAGAACACAGGGTGGGTAACACACCAGTGAGGACCACAGGCCGAGAATCAGCAGAACTTGGGATGCCACCAAGAGAGGCAAAGAGAACAAGGCATTCAAGAGAACTTATCCCAACAAAGCCAGTTACCAGTGGCATAACAAAGGGCAGGGGCTGGTGGGAGTAGTCGGTCCTGGGCGCACATAAGTAAGAAAGCGCATTGTCGGTCAAGAATTTAAAAGCAGCAATAAAACTAAGAGTAAGTTTAAGTCTGCCTTCAACTGTGACCATGCACAGGTAATTCTAGGCAATTTTGGTGGCAAAACACTCCTGGTCCCACCTTGGCCCCTTCTGGGTCCATCACAGCAAACCCCTCATGATATCTTCACCCTGCCAGAGTCTTTGCCTGTGCTCCTTCCTCTCCCTGGGATCTTCCTCCCTGCATCCGCCTGCCAACAGCCTACCCACGTTCAAGCTCCATTTCAAATGCCACCTCTCCACAGGAGACTGTCATGACCCTCTCAGTTAGGAGTCATCCCTTTGTCCTCTTTACTTCTAGGGCAGTGTATCTATACTTTTTTATTCCTACCTGATACTATTAGTTTAACATGCAAAAGCAGGATCTTCCTTGTCCATAGACATCAAGATGCCATGCATGGGATTTGTAAAAGGGCCAGGGTTAGAAGGCCAGCTCTCACCCTGCACCAGCTCTGTGTTGCTGGGCTGGTTTTAATAACCTCTTTAGTATTTTTTCACATCCATAACATGAGGAGTATATCGCCTGTCTCATGGGGCTGTTGCATTGAAATAAATAATGCATGCAAAATATCTAACCCGAAGCAGTGCACATTCTACAGTTATTTTCTACTCTCCCCTTAAGAGAAAGTGATCATATAAACGGGGCGGGGGTGAGGTCCCCACCCTGCATTTCCACTCAGTGTTCATGGCTGCCTCACAGAATGAGCATGGAATGAGACACCCATCTGTTTTCTCAGCAGACTGCTGGAATCCTACTGTGGGATTCCCGTGTTTATATCTGACTTTCCCCCAATGCCCTCACTTTAAAGCTTTAATCACCACCTTACCCCCAGCTAAATAAGGGTCCTTTATATTATGCTTCCCTGAACCAAGTTCTTATGCATGGGCTATTATTATGATTATTTTGATAACTGAGTGGCAATGCTCCTATCCCAGCCAGCTCTTGGATAGCCCACTGGAATGTGCATGCTCTCTCTTCCCCTCTCTCTCCTTCTTCTCTTGCATGGAGGTGCATGTGTACGGTCTCTTTCTGAGTTGTTTTTGTTTTGTTTTGAAGAGAGAGGAACATCAATTTGTTGTTCCACTTATTTACGCATTTACCGGTTGATTCCTGTATGTGCCCTGACTGGAGATCACCCCACAACTTTGTTGTATTGGGATGATGCTCTAATGCACCGAACTACCCAGTCCGGACCTCTGAGTTGGTTTTTAATTTAATTATCTCTCTTCAAAACTTGCTCTACTTAGGGGTATTGGTGCTGGGACTCTACAAATTATACCCATCCTGGGCCAGTGGCTTCCCTTTTGGGTCTGCTGGAGTGGGGGGTTCCAACTTGAGTCAGGTAGGAGGACTTGCTTGGCCCCAGTGAGAACTCTTCCCCCTGAAAGCAGCAACTGGTTCCGGTAAGAGCAACTGATTCCATCACGCAGTTTCTCCATATGCCCAGCATCGGTTTCTTGATGCCCCCTACAGCGACCCCAGCACAGCCATCCAGCCAGTGCTCCCTCCTCAAAGGTCTGGGATCCCCCTCTGCAAGTATGTACATTGTCATTATCCTCATGTTTTCCCCTTTGCTCCCCCATCCCTAAAGGTGTAGCGACTCCCTGTCATTTACTACCTCTGAGAACCTCAGCATGTCTTTGCATCTCCTGGATTGTCCAATAGCCTGAATAACAAGCAATGGTGTTCGGGACCTACGCCTCTCCGGTATAACCCTCGGCACTTTACTATTTGAAGGTGGAGGACTTTGAGAAAACAGCGCAGGCAGTAAGTTCACTCTGACCTCCTCCCCCATCACCCTTCTCCCCTGACACAGGTCATGAGAGCCTCATGTGAAAAGTGCCCTTTTCATACCCTCAGAAAAGGAGCACCCTTATTTCCGAAGACAATGGAAGAATCTTAACAGACCAAGAAGAATCTTAACAGACCTTGTAAGTTTACCCAGGTTACTATACTTACCCCTGACCCCTTAGCCTCTCCCATTCCCCAAGACAACTCCCTCTTCATCATGCCCACATAAAAACACACAGGTCTAGCTGTTTCTTCAGAACTTCATTTCCTTATTATGAAGGAAAACTCATATTAAAACTTAATATTATAAGTTTAAAACATAAAACTTATATTATCTAACTCTATGCTTTTCTCCTGTTAATGTTTTTTGTCAGTTTAATTTTCAGACCCAGCCTGAAACAGTTGAGAAAAACTTTTTCCTCTGCTGCCAAGTCTCCATACTAATTCCTTCCGTTAAAGGCAGTGGCGTAGCTTCTGTCCCCTGACAGCAACCAACTTCATTCACCCTTTCCCTCCACAGACAAACTGTGTTACTAGGTGCATAAGAATGCATCAGCATGCCCTCCATTTTTCCCCAGATAAAAGCTATCAATAAATTATCAACATATTCTGACATTTCTATTATGGATCTTTTCTGCGCAGCATCTAAATACTGGATAGAAAAAAGAAATGGAGTACATCAAACCCTGCAATGTGATATGGGAGAGAGTAATTAGCCCCTAAGGTACAAACTTCTGGGAGCTCATTCTTGGGCACATCGGGCAAGGCAGCTAAAATCAGGTAAAACACTTGGACATTCCATTAACAAAGACCAACATGTGAGTGTCCTTGCTGGGGGCGCTTGCTTCAGAAGGATGCAGGCCTTCTGAAGTGATATGTCCGACAAAGTCTGGGAATCAATTTTTAGATGCATGTACTTAGCTGTTCCCCTGAATGTCCCCATAGGCCTGAGCTCCATTGTCGACAGTCGTCCCCAGCTGACTTAGTAACACATGCTTTGTTACATGCCTACTTCCCCTACCTTCCTTTCCCTCTCCTCTGACTGGCGTTTCCAATACTTCTCAGAAAAGCTGCTTGCTCTCAAATCCTTGTCTCAGGGTCATTCCTTGGGAACAAAAACTTAGACACTAGAAAACCACCCTTTCCCAGCTCCAGTCACTGTGGTCTTTTCAGAAAAACAACTTTAATGTTATATATTCCCAGGCCACATCAATTGGATTTATGAATAACAAATGATATACGAGGTCTGTCTAGAAAGTATCCAGCCATGTAATATGAAAAATAGAGACGTTTATTGAGAAAGATACAAGATACAAGAAACATTGTGCATAGGACAATAGTACCTTAGCTGCCTTCAAAGTAGATACCTGGGACCTCACACAGTTCTCCCAATCACCATCAGCCGTTCCATCATATTTCCCTGAATCTCATTGATGGTCTGAAATCTCTTGCCTTTCAAAGGTGATTTTAGTTTTGGGAAAAGCCGGAAGTTGCAGGGCACCAAATCTGGACTATAGAGGGTTTGAATCACTTGGGTGATTTAACGTTTCACAAAAAAATTCTGCACAAGACGTGATGCATGAGCAAGCACATTGTCACGATGAAACTGCCAGTTACCAGTTGCCCATAGCTGCGGCCTTCTGAATCATCTGAATAGTTTCCACAGAGAAATATTCCAGCTTAATACAAAATTTGATGCAGATTCATTGCTCTACTTGCTCAGTCATTTTGGAGTGACAGCCACACAATACATATTATGTTCACTCAACAGGGTCTACCACCCTCACTGATTAGTGTAGTGAAGTCATCATTGTTCACACACGCACATTTCAGGCCACTCTCCTTGGCTGCCAGTTTACATCCATGTTGTGCAAACTGTTCTCATTATAGTAACAATGGCTGGACTTTTTCCAGACAGACCTCATGTGTCCGGCTGACATTTGAGTGTTCATGTGTTTTGCTTTGTACTGGTTCTGTCTATCCTGTAAGCTTATAAGATGTTCAAAGGCCAGGAGTGCATGTCCACCTTCTTCTCTAATTTTCCATGATGCCTGGCATGATGCTGTGTAGAGTGAATACTCAATCAGCGCTGATAGACAAGAGGCCATAAAGTTCAGGTCCATCTGTCCCATGGGTTTGTCAAGGGTAAGAAAGCTCCTAAGACAAGGAAATTGCGATGCTATTTTCAACCCTTTGCAGGATGGGTCTGGAAGCCCAGAATGGAAGCTGGCACTGTGACAGGGCACCAAATCAGGACACTGGAGTCAGATGGCATGTGCTAATAAGCCCTCCAGGCCAACAGAATGGGAGATGCTGCATCATCAGATATGTTCTCTTAGCCTATTTCAGAGTGACAGTCCAGTCAGAGGCAAACTGAGCTAGATGAGCTAGATGGGTCAGTGTCAGGTCTATCCCAGGCAGACTTTTCCAGAAAATCCTGGGCCTTTGCTGAAAATCAGTAGCCCTCTGATTTATTAAGCACTTCAAAGTACATCACAGAATTGGTTGCTAATAGGTGAGGGACCAAAACAGGTAAAGAGGAGG